CAGCAGGAACTCCAGGAAGACCGCGCTTAGGAACTTCGAAGTAGAGCCCTCGCTTGAACTCGACCCCGTTGAGAAAGGCGGCTTCGACATCTCCAGCTGCTAGTTGCCAACCAAACTGTGCTGCCAGAAACAGGAGCGTGATGAGGGAACACCGCGACGCTGTTGGAGCTTCGGTGTTGATCATTCCATGGCGTAGATCAGGGTCGCGATGTCCTCCTACACAAAGTCTTGCTTTGGCCTTGGGGCCAACTGTAGAGTCTTCCCGTCGTTTGGCAGCATGTTTGTCCCGGTAGGCAAACCGGGCGTTGAGAATCCTGTTGGGGTGAACTTTTGCGCGAAGAAGTTCTGCATCCTCAGGTGGATGAACCCGAACCGCCTCGTACTTGATGTGTTCCTCCCATTGCTTGGCCTCTGCCTCCACATAGAGATGTCGCTCCTTCTCTGGGATGTCGTCCCACCGGATCTCCTTGTCCACCTGCTTGATGACTGATCGCGGAGTTCGTCTCTCTGCGACTAGGGCCTGCCGAGCTGGTGCTGGCGTACCAGCCTCCTCAACCTCCTTGTCTACCAAAGCTTCAAAATCGTCATCAGGAACCGGGGGCAAAGGCCTCTCTCGGGCTCCTTGCTCTGCACCGCCAGGAGGTACTGGTCGTTTATGCATCCTCACTGTGCCCTTTGTCCGGACACGTCGTTCTGGCACTGTGTCATAGTTGACGATCCTCTTTGCATGCATGGGTGCGGTGGCATCTGCAAAGATGTCCTCATCCTCACTGTCCTCGAGGCGATGTGCCAGTCTCATGAGGTCGTCCTTGACCGCCTTAGTCTGGAAGGCGGTGCCCAGTTCCTCAGATTCTGCAGGTCGGAGGTGTTCAGCTGCACATAATATGCAGCGGCCCCCACGTGATACCCAGTAAGAGGCACCCTCTTTACCGACTACCACACCAGGTCCTATCCATTCACCTGCGTTTTGTCGATGGCGAGCTTTGCCTCCCGTCGTCTTGTCGACCCGGAAGATGTAGACGTAGTCGCCCTGTTCGAAGATCTCATTGTTGGTGCGAGGTCGGCCTAGGACAGCACGTTTCAATGCGTCGTCGGCCTGGGTCTGGATAAAAGACTGCCTCGCTGCTTGTCGTATGGTCTGCTTCCTCCTCCAGAGCTCATCAGGAGATCGAAGTTCTTCTCTCTGATGCAGGCTGTCCTCCTCGTCCAAGAAGGCATCACCAGTTCTGGGCTGAGATCCGAACAACCACTGGGCTGGCGAGTAGCCATGCTTACGGCGTAGATTGTTCTTGGCAGCTGCCACCATAGCCAGCGTGTAGTCCACCTCCTCAATGGAAGGTAGGGAGTGCTTCACTGTGCGGTCCCACATGGCTCGGAACCACTCTCCCTGACGCTCGATGGCACCCGCTTGCCAGTGTGCTTGGCCAACGATGTATTTCACATGTGTGCCACCCATCTCCACACCATCGGTGAACTCCTTGAGGAAGCCCCTCTCCAGGTCGCAGGACAACCTCAATGGCGGGCCAGCCCATCCAAGCCAACAGTCGGTGAACGTCTTCAAGAGGTCCACTGACAAGCGGCCGTTCAGGCGCTTGACCACATGGTAACCTGTGGCCAAGTCCAAAACTGATAAGATCTCAACCTTTTCATGCCCATCAAGGTACAAGTTGAGGGTGTCGACGGCCACTTCTTGGTTAAACTCAAGAGGTCTAACCAGTTTTGCGGGTCTCCGCGTGGCTGGGTTGGACAGCCTGGCACAGGAGCTGCATCTAATTGACTGAGCAGCCTTGACAGCAGCTTCGTTTGCACCTGACAGTTTCAGATGTCGTGCAAGGTCATGGTTGGATGGGTGTCCAAGATTCTGGTGAATCCTGCGAAGTGCCCGTGCCAGAGGTATGGGGACATGGCCAGGAAGCTCAATGCCGGTCATCTTGTGCTCCACGTAATCGTCAGCTTCCGGCGGGGCCCCTCCCTCGGCAACGAGGGCATTCCAGGTCTTGTTGGACGCATCGGTCTCGGAGGCACAGATGCTACGTCTCTGGTGGTCAAAGCCTTGTACCACCGCTCGGCAAAATGCCGACGTATATATTCCAGCTGCCTTGGTATTGCGGCCCTCTGTGGGCGTGTGATGATGCCCTCCATGGCAGGAACGGTCTAGTGCCGTCAGTAGCTTGGGGTCAGAGGCTACAATCCTTGTAGGTTTCCTGAGCCTACCGCCATCCGTGGCGGCCCTCAGGTCATAGCGGCACATGTCAATGTCGGAGTAGACCATAAAGTTGGTCTCCATAAGGCTGCTCATGGAGTGATCATCCCACATTTCGGAAAAACGGTGGTGTTCAAACATCACTTCCCCCCCATTGGCAATCTGATTCCAGGCGCACTCAACAGCAAAATGAATCAGTCTCCGCTGCTTCTGTCGTTCTCGGCGGAGTTGTTGGCGACGCTGGGCATAGTTGAGCCTCTGCCACTGAGACCACTTCGTGCAAGGGAGTGCTACCCAAAGTAGTTTGGGCTTCCTGTAGTTGATGTCATTGAAGACGCTCTCCTGCTGGTACTGGTCAAAGAGGTCGTGGCCCAGCATGATGTCGCGGGGCTCCAAGACGTTAGGGCCTTGGTGGGCAAACTCTGTAGTCAGTTTCGCTGAGCCCGCAAAGAGCTCAAGCAAGGCAAAGTCCTCAGGCTTCCCTTGGAAAGTGTTCGGCCCCAAGATGGCCTTGCATAGATCTTTGGCAGGTTCCAGGATCGCCTCTTCCAATTCAGCGACCACCGGCGTTGAGAAGGCTACCAAAGTGGTTGCCAAACATGCCAAAGCTCGATGTACAAGTCCTTTGACTCGTTTGCGACGGTTTCTTTTCATCCTCCTCGAAGGTAGGTTCTTGACCTCATCAAAGTCATCAGGGTAGTAGAGCTTGACCTTGGGATAGCCGGTCTCCAAATCCGTCTCATATTCATCAAGGTCGATGGGGTCAGAGGCGTCGTCATCCTCAGAAACCTCGGCATTCTGTGAGTCAAAGCGCTCCTCATGGTCGAAGATCTCCTCAACGTCGAAGGTCTCCTCAGTGGTGATGTCATTCTTGAGGACGTTGACATTCTCAGTGACATAGCCAGTGTGCGCTCCAGTCTTCATCTTCCGCTTCATCTCCTGGAGCTCTTTCAACTTTTGCCAATAGGCCCTCTTTTTCACCCTTGTTTTGGAGTGCTGAACTCTGCCTCGCCGGTCCTCTTCCTCGGCGTCTTCTAGTCCTCGGCCTCTTTCGCTGCCTTCATCATTTGAAGACGACTCTCCATGTCCGCGATCTCCTCGGCCAGGGTCTGCTCCGGTTCGGAAACCATCGAGAAACTGCTGGTCTCGTCTGGGATTGGTCGGGTCCTCGAAGTCCTCTGGTGCTTCTGGGTCTCGTCCTTCACCTTGACTTTCGCCGTCGGAAGCGCTGCGGCTGGCACTGGCAAGGTAGGAGAACGCTCTGGATCCCCACTGCCCGAGGCGACTCCACCGTGACTGGTTGCCGGCTTGCGGGCTTGGGCCCATCGAGCCAGCCGTGCCAGATCCGGTGAGTGTTGCGGATTGGCCGCAACTTCCTGCATTGCCCACGTCAGGTAGGACTCGTTCACCTCGTTGTACTTGTACCGCTTGTAGGAACCGAAGCACACCTTCTCGTTCCCGTCGGGAGGCGTGTTCTCTCGAAGCATCCTCATCAGCAGTCCCCTCGTTGGTTTGGGAGGCAGCGCCAAGCCCTCTGCTTGGCACTTCTCCATCAGATCCTCCAGGCACATGTGCGTGATGCCCTTCGTCTTGTGACTCCCATCGCCCTCCTTCCCTGGGCATCGTCTATTGATCCTAATCAATAGAAACCATAGGTTTTCTATTTGTTTTTTTTAAATCAATAGCTATTGATTTTTTCAATAGAGTGTGTTAAGCAGCTGTTATTGATTTACATGTGCATGGTTCCAGTTGATTTCACAATTGATTTCACAATTGATTTCACGATTGATTTCACTATTGATTCCACTGGCTACTTTTGGCCCAAGTTTTGCAGTTTTTTCATGTGTCTGACCTCTTGACAAAAGGGGATCGCCAAGGAAAACCTCTTGGCAAAAGGGGCTGTTATGTCTGGCAAAGGGGGAGCTAGACACACTAGCAAACCCCAGGTGGATTCAGGGTTGCTGTTTCGATGTCTGATTCAGCACAAGGACCTGGTTTGCAACTTTGGACCTTATGAGGCCATATCCAAAACACAAGCAGCTAATCCAAAGGGGCTGCTGAAGAACATACCCTTGATAAAAGGGTTGGTGCAATTGGAAAGCACAGGAGAAATCCATGCCAGTTGCATAAGGAATGCAGTATTCCAAATGGTTTTGGAAGACCCAAAATGCAATGATTCCAAATGGAGTGGAGGGGTGTGGACAAACATGAGAGCGGAGAGAATTGGGACCTTACTCTTCCATATCAGAAGGCTCAAGCTGGGGGATGGCCTAAGAAATTGTGCAAGCAAGTTAACTGCTATGGAGCTTTTGTCCATCCAAGAGGTTCTTGAACTCATGGACAGAAAGCTTGAAGTTGAGGAGCCTGCCTTACCCCTTGTCAAAAGGGAAAAGCAAAGAGAAGACTCACCCCTTGCTGAAAGGGATGCAGAGGCCAGTGGCAAACCTGCCAAGAAACTGAAAAAAGAAATTTCTGATGTTTCCCTTGATTCCATGGGTATGCCTAAATGTTTTGGAACACCTTCAGAAAAGGCAAGTCCCAGCCCCTTGGCAAAAGGGGTCAGCAGCCCCCAGGCTGAAGAAGAACCTTCCAGTAGCTCCTTGGCCAAAAAAAATGCCTGAAAGAAATTCCTTGCCAAAAGGAAATACTTTGGCCAAAGAAATTGCAGAGCCTTCCTTTCTAAGGAGGAGGGAAGGCAGACTGGCAGCAGCAGCAGCCAGCAGTGCAGGAGAGAAAGCCAATCTGAAAAGTAAATTGGGCATGGTTGCAAAGATGAAAAGGCCAGCTGCTAAGCTTGCCAAAAAAGCAAGTGCCAAAAAAAACCCTTGAAAAAAGGGCCAGTGACCACCCATGCAGGTGCTTCACCTGCAGCCTTCCCAAGAAAAGTCTGGACCAAACTCCAGGTCACCAAATCCCAGAAAGAACCATGGAGAGCATATATCTGTGGGACCACAGCTGATGATGGCAAGCCCCCCCTCCACTTGATTGTGGAGACCAGGCACAAAAACCATGTACAGTATTTAGAAATTTTGCAGCACATCAAAGACAGGCTGGAGCAGGATCACTTGACAAAAGATGAAGCAGTGCAGCTGAGAAAGGAATGCTATGACACCTGGTGAATATCTCTTGACAAAAGGGATTGCAAATAGTTTCATGCTACATATGACCTCTTGACAAAAGGGGCTGCTTTTCAGTAAAAGAATTGCACAGATTCACCAGACCTCTTGACAAAAGGGGTTGCATTTTTCCCAAGGGTTGCCCAAACCTCTTGGCAAAAGGGGCTGCACAAAGTTTCACCATACCTCTTGACAAAAGGGGTTAGCCCAAAATCTCTTGGCAAAAGGGATGAACATGACAGCTTAGGTGTGTGTCAAAAAGTGCACCACTGTTGGCATGGGAAGGGTGGGCAGGTGTGTTGACCCTTAAAGTTTGTTTTTTTTGTTGACCCCTAAAAGGATTAATGTTTTCAAGGGGGGTAGGTGTTGACATGTTTTGGGGTGGGTGTTTGGTAATGGTAGATACCACATGTCACACACACACATGTGCACATGTCACACCTCACCTCCCTGTGTTCATGGGTTGCACATGTGAATGTGTCATGCATGACTGCAGCTTTTGGCACAAATTTTGACTGAAAGGAGACCATCGCCATTTTCAGGTCTCAATTCCTTGCCCAAAGGAATTTGCGCCTTTGACACTTGGAACTCTTGCCAAAAGGGTCCCATCTGAAACAAGTCCTGCTGTTGGATCCCTTGCCAAAAGGGACCCTTTCACCAAACCCAAAGCCTAGGGGTGTTGAGGAAACACCCCTTGTCCAAAGGGGATGGCAGATTGGGATAAATGGGATGGCCAATCCTGGTACAGGAATAACAAGAACAGGCCATCAGGAGTTGGCACAGTGAGCCATGCCAGGAGGGAGAAGATGAGACAGAAGGCCCTGGCCAGAGAAGCAGCTGAAGCCATTGCCAAAAGGGATCAAAACCAAGCTGCAGCAGATGCAGCAGCACCAGCTGCAGCAGATGCAGCAGCACCAGCTGCAACAAATGCAGCAGCACCAGCTGCAACACCAAGCAGCACAGAAAGCTCCACCAGCAGCAGCAGCAGCTCCAGCATGCATGTGGATGCCAAGAGGGCAAAAACAGAGCCTGAGCAATCTCTTGACAAAAGGGATGGGAAATTAAAGGACCGGATAACCCCACATGTTACCAACTTCTTTAGACTTAGACTGACCATAGAAGAGCAAGAAGGGAAGAGGAAGTATAAGAGTGATGGAGCGGTGATGGTGGGTGAGTTTGTGTGTATGTATGTATGTTCATGTACAGTGAGTGAGTGAGAGTGTGAGTGAGTGATGCGAGTGTGGTGTGTGTGAGTGAGGGATGAAGTGAAGTGAAGTGAAGTGAAGTGAAGTGAGTGAGTGGGTGAGCGAGGGAGCGAGGGAGCGAGGGAGCGAGGGAGCGAGGGAGCGAGGGAGCGAGGGAGCGAGCGAGTGAGTGAGTGAGTGAGTGAGTGAGTGTGTGCGTGTGTGCGTGTGTGCGTGTGTGAGTGTGTGCGTGAGTGAGTGAGTGAGTGAGTGAGTGAGTGAGTGAGTGAGTGAGTGTCTGCGTTCTCTTTTCCGTTCCCGGCACAGACCGGAAACATCATAACTGCATGGCATAACTTAAAAGTGATTTCAATAACCTACACCAAGTCAAGTCAATGTGGGGAGCAAAAACCCCACACGTCAATGTGAGGAACAAACTGTTGGTGTGCCTGACATATTCAACACCATACATGTTTAACACACATTCGAAACGGCCTCGCCTTTCCAGCCTTCCGACACACTATCAAAACGATGGTGTGCTCACCATACTTTCGCTGACCAAAGTAATGTTCTGCACTCTTTCGAGCGCAGCCGCACATTTTGTGAATTCTTTCTGCATGCCCTGTGGCTGGTAAACATCGCTGGCACATGATGATGATGATGATGATGATCATGATCATGATCATGATCATGATGATGATGATGATGATGATCATGATGATGATGATGATGATGATCATGATGATGATGATGATGATGATGATGGAAGTGAAGCGAACTGAGTGAGAGGGTGAGTGAGGGAGGGAGGGAGGGAGGGAGTGAGGGAGTGAGTGAGTGAGTGAGTGAGTGCACATTGTGCCACGCCTGCCACGCAAAAGAGGCGGAGACCCAAGGGACGCCAGGGCGTACATCCGACCCTTTGGCAGTGCACACTGTGCCACGCCTGCCACGCAAACGAGGCGGAGACCCAAGGGACGCCAGGGCGTACATCCGACCCCTTGGCAGTGCACACTGTCCCACGCCTGCCACGCAAAAGAGGCGGAGACCCAACGGACGCCAGGGCGTACATCCGACCCCTTGGCTGCTCACATTGTGCCACGCCTGCCACGCAAAAGCGGCGGAGACCCAAGGGACGCCAGGGCGTACATCCGACCCCTTGGCAGTGCACATTGTCCCACGCCTGCCACGCAAAAGCGGCGGAGACCCAAGGGACGCCAGGGCGTACATCCGACCCCTTGGCAGTGCACATTGTGTCCCACGCCTGCCACGCAAAGAGGCGGAGACCCAAGGGACGCCAGGGCGTACATCCGACCCCTTGGCAGTGCACACTGTGCCACGCCTGCCACGCAAAAGAGGCGGAGACCCAAGGGACGCCAGGGCGTACATCCGACCCCTTGGGTGCACATTGTCCCACGCCTGCCACGCAAAAGAGGCGGAGACCCAGGGCGACCCCTTGGCAGTGCACATTGTCCCACGCCTGCACATCAAATGGTCCCACGCCTGCCACGCAAAAGAGGCGGAGACCCAAGGGACGCCAGGGCGTACATCCGACCCCTTGGCAGTGCACATTGTCCCACGCCTGCCACGCAAAAGAGGCGGAGACCAAGGGACGCCAGGGCATACATCCGACCCCTTGGCAGTGCACATTGTCCCACGCCTGCCACGCAAAAGAGGCGGAGACCCAAGGGACGCCAGGGCGTACATCCGACCCCTTGGCAGTGCACATTGTCCCACGCCTGCCACGCAAAAGACGCCACGCCTGCCACATGTGTGAGTGAGTGTGTGAGTGAGTGAGTGAGAGAGTGAGTGTGTGTGTGTGTGTTTGTTTGTGTGAGTGAGTGAGTGAGTGAGTGAGAGAGTGAGTGAGTGAGTGTGTGAGTGAGTGAGTGTGTGAGTGAGTGAGTGAGTGTGTGTGTGTTTGTTTGTGTGTGTGAGTGAGTGAGTGAGTGAGTGAGTGAGTGTGTGTGGTTAGTGTACTTGTTCACTTTGTTTTGCAAGGATCTTCTTTGTTCCTGTTTCCATTTTGGCTCAAGGACTTTCATTTGTATGTTTAACATTTTTGTTTTTGGTCATGCCAGACCATTTTCGGGTTGCGTGGTTGCAGTTGCAGTGCTTTTCAACAACTTTTCTTCTTCGTCATCTGTTTTCAGTTGCGTTGAGGGTGTGGGCATTGACATTCATTGTACTTTTTACGGCATCTCGTAGTTTCGTCACTCGGGCGGATCCCTTCGATGCAATGAATTGCTGCGTTGGGCAGATTCGGGCACCCTG